CCATACCGTGACTCCAGTGATTCTTTATTCACACTACGGCGCGTCTGGTACGAGAAACCGACTTTTCATTGTCAAAATAGTGCTCGCTATTCATGAGCGTCTTCTGGCGTGGACGGCTGAACAAGGCAGCCGCCAGCTTATATTTGCTGCGGTGGGCGGACGAGACGATGAAAGAATTGAAAGCGGGTTTGTAAGCCGTGGTCGCCTCGTGGAGGTTGCCGATTTTGTGCTGAGCGACGAGGTCATAGAATGCAGACACTGTTTGGGTAGGAGTCCAAGTCTGCCTTCCATCCATGACACTGACCTTTTCTCTCAGAATGAAACGATAGACATTCTGAGCGGCGTTTTCCGACAAATTTCTCCAATATCCGGGATCTAGTAGTACTGACTCGTCCATAACTGATGGCATTTATCAGTTGTGCGCCTTTCGCTATCTTGAGTGTTCCTTTTATATTGTCTGCTCTGGTGATTTGTCTCCTGAATGCCAGAAATATCAACCGTTCGAGCTCGAGAAATATTCAGATCGAGGAGTTACGGGGTGTCAATTTGTAGTCCAGGAACTAATTCCCGCTACCTTTGTAGTGGGTCTCCTACCTCACTGATTTCAATGATCGCACAGCACTGACGAAGAATTGCTAGCGGCCAGTGCACGTGAACTTCTCGCATCATGCCATGAAATCTCGACGTGGCACAGTATCGGGCGCAGTGCGGTTTCATGTATTCATCCTGCAACTTGGCACATGTCCTTTTGAGGCTGAAATTACCCTCCAGCCACTTGTAGGCCTCAACCTCACCGCGGCCCTGCAGCTTGTCCTTGAATTCGTGGGATCGCTGAGTACTCGCTGTATCATTTCTCTCGCACTGGAAGGCCTTTGGTATACCAGTACTGCATTTTGTTTCAGCTCCCACAGTATGTATTAAATCTGATCTCGCTCTATTTTGTACTCAATGCGAGACCTTTCACAGCGAGATGGGACAGTGATCATCTTGCACCACTAACTTAGTGTTTCAAGGTGCGTTGCAGCCTTGTACTCCAGGCCGCTCTCTCCGACCCTTACTTCTCAACAAACAGCCTTGGGAACAGATTCTGCAGCGGGGCATCATGTTTCGCCTTGATGGGGCCGTCAAGCTCCACCGGGCTGTATTATTCTTCAGTTCACCCGGTCATTCAAGACGATCCTCGTCTCTGAACAATCTTGCAAACAGCCTTCGAGATAGATTTCGGAAGCGGGGAATCATCTCTGACCTTGATGAGGCCATCTAGCTCCTTCGGGCTGCATTGCTCCTCAGTCCACCCGCAGGCTCATTGATGATTCAGGGAGATTGGACTGCACGCGCGCTGCGGCAGCGCTGCACAAGGCCGTGAAATTGTTGCGCAAGAAGAATGTTTCATTAGAACAGCAGATTGTATTTGTCCACATCGGTGTGTAGTTAAAGACTCGGTTTGCTACATTATTCCATTTTCTGTACATATTTCTAATTGTTTTCATTCCCTCTCTTTCTTGTTGCTCTGCATGATACTTTGGTGTTGTTTTGTACTGTACTAGAGCCATACACAGCGTCCTGTTGACTCAATCTGATTTACTTCTACATACATCTGGTGGGACCAGGTGGGTTGGAATGACGCGGCTGCAATTGGACTTTATGTAATTTGGCGCGCGAACCAACCATCTACACGTCCATTTCATATTCAGATTGATATCATTTATTTCTTCTAATCTACTTGATGCACGTAGTGCAAGGGGGTTTACACTCAATAGCGTGGCCCTCCGCACCACCTCAAGGAACCCTTCCCTTATTTGCACGATTGGAGTCGACGTCCATCTTCCAGGAGATACGCCTCGTTCATTTTTCATGGTTCCCTCATCGGATGTCTTTTCATCCGCTTTCTTTCACAATTGACTAGACAATCACTCTGCACCCTGTTCCATCGTCCCTACCTCGAGCACGACCCCTCTCCCTCGCCCAATCCCGCACTTGGGACATTCACATGTTTACTGCAGAGTTCCGCTCCCATGCTATTTTTCTGTCTCAAACCACACCAGTGCAAATAATCATGTCCTCGACCAAAATATGATCCCATCACCCTCTGTGACGGCTGGACTGGTCCAGGCCGATCACCAATTGACGCCGAGCGTAACAACCACCCCTTCCTCTTATTTATCTGAGACGCTAAAGAATCATATGCTTGTTAGAAAGAATCACGAGCCAACCTACTTACAATCTATAAAGCCTACGTACTTAGTATTGTAGAAGTTCGGCGCTCTTAATTCCAATCTTGTATCTGGTTATTTGAGACATCTGATTTTCCGCTGTGCCGTCTTAGAAAGCAACTCGCTTCTCTTAGCCGTCACATATTTTTTAACCTTCAACAAGCTTAACCTCTTACCGCCTTGATTCGGGAACCCTGGTCTGGCCAACCCGACGCCTGTCGTTTTGAATCTAGGCAACAACTTCTATTCACAATGTCTACCAAACGTTATCGAACTCTGTCTACCACACGTTATCAGACTCGGTCTAGCGCACGTTTAGCGCCCGTAGACCAATCTACACCTATGACGAAGGCAGCAGCACTGCCTCGTGCTAACAGTGAGTCCTCTCTGTCCACCGTCTTCACAACCCCGGGAGATGGCACGCCTAGGGCAGCCTCTCCTGCGTATTCCGTCGACACACCCATTCGTCTCTATGACAATGTTGTGTTGACGCGTATTCCCTCGATGCCTGGCGCACTCGAGGCGACCCCAATTGGGGCTGCAAAACCAAAGGATCCGGCTCTCGCGAAGCTGGACTCCGTAGAGACGACTGCACAAAGCGAGGATGTTAGCCACAATGAAATAAAGAAACCAATGGTCACATTTGATGTCAACAATGAGTCTGAGACAACGACCAATAAGTCCAACGAGTCTGGCGATGACCAGGCTGGTGAGTGGACCACCGTTCAGAGGAAACGTGGGCGGAATAGTCCCACACGGGAGGCGTCCGAAGGAAGACGACAAACCTCCGAATTGAGCCAGGAACAAGTCCACCTGGTTGAGTTGGCTGAAAAGAGGCTGACCGAAAACGATCGTAAGAAAATTGAGGCGAGGAAGCGCAATCTGAACCTCACCAGAGAAAGTATAGAATCCCAGAGTGAGGGACCTTCCAAGGACAAAGGGAAGGCTACCGATCCTGGAAATTGGGGCAACATTAGCCTCGAAAATGGAGAAGTAGACCTGGACACTCAGAGGGCAGCGTTTGAGTCCTTCCGTCTGGCTCGAGAATATGAGGAAGCCGAGCGCGACGAACAGCGTGAGGTCAGTCGATCCCTCAACGAATCTCGAGGGGACAATAGTTTAATCTCGAGTCTACGACACAATGAGGACTATGTGCCTCGTGCCCGGGCTGAGTCTGCAGTAAAGGCTGTCAAAGAAAAGGTGTCTAAGCAATACGAAGCTCGCATTCATGAATTAGAAGCGAGACTTGCCTTGAGCGAAAGTAATAACTCTAGAAAGGAGCGCTCTAGGCCATCCAACCCGGTAGAGGGCATGGTAAACCGCGTCCTTGACAGGGCATCTAGTCCAGTGCCAGCCAGGTCCACTCCACAAGCAATGGAGCCGATCCGGCAGGTGGCTCCCAAGAGCTACATAGGCCAAGCCCTTAACAGGCTAGGCGGCTTGAAGAAAAAGAGCTCGAAGAAGAAACGTAAAGGGAAGAAGAGACACACCTCTTCTTACTCGAGTAGTGACAATGACCTGGATGACCCAAGCTCCTCGTCAAGCTCCTCCGATTCGTCCTCTGAGTCATCCGAGTCTAGCGACTCGTCTTCTGATGACTTGGGAGGCAGGTCATCTTGATGAGGCTCAAAGAAGAAACACAGTCACAAAAGTAAGAAAAACACATTAAAGCCCATCCCTCCGGTTAATTATGATGGCTCACCTGATTCGTGAGCCTACCACCAGTTTATAACTGAAGGTACTGCCTATGTAAAAGATGGCCAGGTGGAACGAAAATGCCGGGTGTTTGTTCTGGCACATTACCTAAAGGGACGCGCTCGTGAGTTTTACACCAGGGAAGTGTCCGGTGACCCATACCGTTGGAGACTCAAACCCTTCTTCACGGAGCTATTCAATCATTGTTTCCCCATTGACTTCAGGATGAAGCAAAGGGAGAAACTCAACTGCTGTTATCAAAATGAGAAAACAGTTAGGGAGTATATCTATGAACTAAGTGAGCTGTGGAACATGATAGGAGATGTCACAGAACGACAGCAGGTGACTCGCCTTTGGATGGGTTTGAACGCCTCGATACAAACTGAGCTGTGGAAAAAGGAACTCAATCCTGAGTCTTCTTCCTTCCGGGAGGTGCAGAATGCGGCTGAAATTATCGAGATCGCACACTCGGTGCCGGTAAAGAACCGAGAGCGCCGGAACAGGGATAGCAACGTAGGAGGGCACCCTAAGGCAGGAAAAGGAGATGGGGGATTGTCCTCCAAAGCAGACGATCCTCGGGAACAACGGACAGATCACCGTAGAAATGGTCGATACTGGGGACGGGAGGACACTAGAGAGACCAAACCCAAGGACACTGGGAGGGCAGATAACCACTGTAAGGAGGGACAATCAAAGGATAGGCCTTTGGACAGAAGGCCCAAGAGACTAAGTCCGGCCGAGAAGGATCGTCATGCTGCGGAAGGCCTATGCTATGTGTGCCATCAACCCGGCCACATATCCAGGAACTGCCCTGCAAAAACAACGGTGAAAGCTGGCAGTAGCAAGAACTCTCCACCTACCATGCACCATTATGGGATGGACATAGGGACGGACAACTCTGTGCCACCAGTGGAACCGTTGATGTCTAATGACCTGTCAGAATTAACCTGCGCCTCAATGACCCTGAAGTATGAGAATGATCCACCAAAGACTTCTAGAACACCGGTGCTAAACGTTATGGGGGACCCACTGGCCGAGCGAGCGATGTGCCTGCTGAACGCAGGATCTGGGTACTACCCAGGAGACAGATGCACAAAAAGGCCTGACCCTGAGAGGTTCCTGGTATATCGAGTTTCAGACTCTGAGCATGTCATAATGGACTGTGAGGACAGACGGGACCCAGAATTGACCATACATACCTTGTTGCTGATGAATCCACAATTCCATCTAAGGGAATGGTACGCAAAGCATGTTGGGAGGCTGCGAGGATATGTTGCGGATAAATTACGCAAGTTGAGGCGAAAGGTAGTGGGCCCAGAAATGGGGGAAACCTTGGGCCGCAGAGTGGCTGACATTCTGCGCAGCAATGGTCCTTATGAGAAGGATGTGGTTCAGTACAAGCACCCTGAACGATTTGAGTGCGTACGGCTGTATGACGGATCGTATGAGGTAAGGGACTATGCGAAAGCATTTCGGGTCCCCATACCAACGCACCTCTTACTGCGTGAGAGGTTCGAAGTGGCACGCTGGTTTAAATCTAGGCTGACCAGAGCGTATGGGAAGCTGTGCGATGAGATCACCCATAATGCACCAGAATACGACTTACTCCGACTACTGGAGAGGGGAAATCTGACACCCACTGAGTGTCAATTGGATGAAGTGGCCAGGAGGATATATACCCCTCCCCCTGACGTGAAGGTTGTGTACAAGGACGCGCATCTGTTTGTCATTGAGCTGAATGGTCAACAAATACCAGCTGGGACTTACCCAGCGCTACACCAAACTTCAGCTGTTGTGAAAGACTTCAAACGAGTGATTCCGAAGCCTCTGGTGGTCACCGTCCATATTGATGGCCAACCGGCGAGGGCTCTGATTGATTCGGGTTCGCTATCAGACTTTATGTCAGTCACATTAGCGGATCAATTAAAAATACCTAGGATCACGCTAGCAAAACCCATAGTTGTGCAGTTGGCGGTACAGGGCTCCCGATTGAAGGTGAACCATGGGGCCACAGCCCAGCTAAAGTACCAATTGATCGATTCGAAACGCTACTTTGACATTATTAACCTACAAAACTATGATTTAGTGCTGGGGACCCCATTCCTATTCCAGCATAAAGTAATGATAGGTCTGAACCCACCTAGAGTTGTTGTCGGAAGTGTCGATCAGCAACCTATGAAGGGGGATCAAGTGACGACATTGGAGTCACGTATGTCGGAAGTGTACGAGGAAAACCTGGATAAAGTCAGGGCACAATTAACCGAGTTAGCTCAACCACTATGTGCTAAAGCAAGTGACACGAGCTTACCTCCCATGCGTGTCATAAACCATACAATCCCGCTCATTGATGAGGCACAGATCTACCCCTGGTGGCCCTTGTGTTGCCCGGAGCCCCTGCGACCGCAATGGGCAGAGAAATGGCGGTCATATCTGGCCTCGGGCCGGTGGCAGGTTACAAGCGCTGGTAACACTGTGCCTATGCTATTCATACGAAAGCCCGGGTCAGACAAACTTCGCACTGTGGTGGATCTGCATGAGTGGAATAAGAATACTCGTAAATTGACGTTACCTCTACCTGACATGGAAGGGATCTTGCGCCGGGTCTCCGGAAAGAAGTACAAGTCTGTACTGGACGGACAGGACACTTATGAGCAGATTAGAGTGATACCCGAACACGTTCCATGGACTGCTATGACCACACCTGACGGTAACATGGTCAGTCAGGTACTCCAGCAAGGAGATTGTAATGCCCCTGCCACTTACCAGGCATTAATGAACCATCTGTTCAGTGAGTACCTCGGGAAATGGATGGATGTTTACCTCGACGATATCATCATTTACTCGGACACACTGCATGAACATGTTGGTGATGTTAAAACCGTCCTTAGGATTTTGGAACGGGAGAAACTTTACCTAAGCAAGAATAAAATTCGGTTCCTGTGTGATGATGTGAAGATCTTGGAACATATAGTCGGGAAAGACGGGATCCGTATGGATCCGGACAAGGTGGACAATGTGCTGAACTGGAAGACACCTACAAACCGGGATCTTTGCCGGGGATTCATCGGTTCCATGGGGTACTTGGCTGATGACATCTTTCGCGTACGGATTCCATTAGGGATACTGTCAGAGGTAACTGGAGACACAGTACCTTTCAAATGGGACTTTGCTCAGCAACGGGCCTTCGAGACTGTCAAACAGTATGCAGCAGCATGTGCGCCTCATTGTCGCGTGCCCTTGGTGTACGGTCCTGGGGCTCCCACCATTTACATGATGACCGATGCCTGTCTGGGGGGGATAGGAGGTGTGGTTGCCCAGGGTGCGGATTGGTGGACGGCCAAGGTAGTGGCCTTTTACTCGGCCAAACTGAACCCGGCCCAACGGAACTATCCTGTACATGAGCAGGAAATGTTAGCGGGGGTCGAAACTATGTTGCGGCACCGGGACATCTTACAGGGTGCCAAATTTGTATGGCTCACCGATCACAAAGGCTTGGTCCATTTGCTGAATCAGCGTAACCTGTCTGGTAGGCAGGCGAGATGGATTGAGAAAATTGGGGAATTCGACTTTGAAGTGAAATACTTACCGGGAGTGGAGAACCTTT